CATATGCAATCAAATGGATAAACATGCTTTTTAATGATGAGAAAGAGCTTGTTTTATCAAAAGCAACACTTAATAATATCTCCTATCAAAGCAAGGTTGTTTTTTTAATGACACATGCATGGTTAATACGATTTTAAAGTTGCGTTCCCACTTTTTGTCAACAAAATGTAATAAAATCAGGGAATATCAGGCGCTGCCGTCACTCTAAAGGAGCCCCTTGCCACAGTTCACCTCTGCAGAGTACATCAGTGTCAGACAGGCTCTGCTAAGTTTTATAGTTTTAGAATATTTTAAATCCTAATGTTAATATTTCCTGTGTCACAGCCATGATATGTCAACACCATCTTCCAATTTCTGAGGAAATTATTTGAAATATTTAGATAATTGTATTCTCCTGAAGCAGGTTCCATTAGCATCTAGCATCAACAGAAAAAAATAAAATGGCTACTACATGAACTCCATTGGTTTTGTGAAAGAAATGCCAAATTTGTCAACACCGTCAGATGTCACCACCATAAGATTTTGTGTTCAATGATATATCAAAATACTTAATGTGACTCTTGAATAAAAGCTTTATAAACAATAACATTTGTTGTTTGTTTTAATACAGTTCAGACTGATTCAATGTATTTGATAGTTAAAATTATTACAAATTCAGGTTTTCGTCACCACCGTCAGATGTGTCAACTCCGTCAGTTCTGTCACCTCCGTCAGTTGAATATTCGGATAATATTTCATTATGATATTTTATATCTGTTGTGGAATTGTTGGTCACATGTGAAAGTGTACTATGTCTGCTAACACCAGAATGTGCTTTGAAATGTTAAAAACATCTTGAATGCTGTTAAAGATAAAGCTGAGATTATATTACACAGTCCAAGGTAAAAAAAGCACATTTTGTTAAAAAAGAGAAAAGTTGGGAGGTTGTATCAAAGCATAGCTCAGTAGCTTAGTACATATAAGATGCATAAATGTAGTTTCATTTGTCTGAGTACAAGGTTTTATTTTTTCAATTTTGCACCCTGTTTTGTCTCACTTCTCAAGAATGACTGGGGTAATGTCCTGAAAAGTCACCTTCTCCTTGTAATGTCATACCTTTGTCATTATACAAATTTACAAAAAACGCGCGCACACACACACACACACACACACACATATTCAAGTTAAATTAGGTTATATAATGAATATGGGCTTAAAGTGCACAATCTGAGCTTTAATTTGAGGGTATTCTCATCAAAATTGGAAGAAAGGTTAAGGAACTACAGTTCTTTAATATGTACCTCCCCCCTTTTTCAAGGGAGCATAAGTAATTGGACAGTTGACTTAAAAGCTGTATCATGGACAGATGTGGTCTGTTCTTTCATTATTTCTACATCAATTTAAGCAGGTTAAAGGTCTGGAGTTGATTCTAAGTGTGCCATTTGCATTTGGAAGCTGTTGCTGTGAACCCACATCATGCGGTCAAAGGATCTCTCCATAGAAGTGAAACAGACAACTGTTAGGCTTCAAAAACAAAACAAATCCAGAGATAGCAGGAACATTAGTAGTGGCCAAACCAACAGTTTGGTACATTCTGAGAAAAAGAAAAGAAAAGAAGAAGGCACTGGTGCGGTCACATTCATTGGTTAAAACTGAACTTTGTGAGTTCGTGATGAGTGACAGTTTTTAATGCATTTAAAGGGAGCATTCTTTGCATGCTGTATAGGATAATATATTCAGAATTCAAATAAAACTGGTGTTTTTCATGCTTGACAAGCGGCCACGTACGACAAAGATAGCTAATTACTACACTATATAGAAAAAGATAATAATTTCAGAAGCACAGGGTGATGTGATTCTGCAACGGAGCCTGGTCCAAATGCAGGATAACGGTTATTAATTATTTGTATTGGCTGCCATGCCAAACCATGCACACCTGCTTGCTTTTCTGTTTAATTTAACTGTTTTTGTGAACGTATATGCTTTAATAACAAATAGCCTAATTGTAACACTTTACAATAAGGTTCCATTAGTTAATGTTAGTTAATGTATTAAAGTGTAAGTTCATTATTGTAAAGTCTTACCCAAATAATGTATTTCGAGTGTTCACTTGAAAATAAAAAAGTGCATTTTGGATGTTTTCTTTCCCAAAAAATACAAATTTTTAAAAAGATTATGGAAAGCCAAAAAGCCCAAAATCTCAAAATTGACTGATGCATAAAAAACCTATGTTGCCTATGTTTTTTTTTTGTCTCGCCTATAAGATGTATTATTATTATTATTATTATTATTATATAGCCTACAGATGTAAATAAGTATAAAACTGTATTATGTAAGAAGTTGGTGAAACATTTTGTTGTGCACATCTATGCACATATTCCCACTGGAGTTGTAGATTTAGTGTTAATGAAATGTTGTGCGTCTTGTGTTTCAGCTTTTGCATTACATTATATCTTACATTAGAGCATCTGAGGGATTTGACTAAATCAAGATGCTGCTGATCATCGAAGCTCTTCTTCTCATTTCAGCTGCTCTAGAGCAGGTAAGCTTGTATTCAAGTATGAATATTACAGATATGAAAACTGATAATGTGATGATTCCCACAGGGCCACAGAGCTGCTGCTGAAGGACTGATCTATCCATTCAACATGGCACTGAATTCAGTTGATGACCAGTATGATGGATGTACAGAAGAAATGGCTGACCTGGTGATGACAGAATACCTAGAGAAGGAACTCAATAGCTCAGCTGAATTTAAAATGGCTTGGCAAGAAGCTGAAAACAATACTTCGGCACCAGAAGATGACTTGACGGAGAATCATTTAATCGCTTTTTACGTGTACACTGATAAAGAAATATATCGTGAGTTCAATAACGCTGTTCGCGGAGAGAAAGAAAACTACAAAAACATGACATACCCATGGTATTCACTTCACTTTTTGTTAACTGAGGCGATACAGCTTCTGAAGAAAACGCAACAAGGTTGTAAGTCGACTTATCGTGGTACAGATGTTGAATTTGATAGGGATGTTCTGAACGCAGAGGTTCGCTTCGGCTCGTTTACATCCTCGTCTCTTAATCGTACAGTAGCAGAAGCTTTCGGAAATGTATTTTGTTTTGAAATCTACACTTGTGAAGGTGCTGAGGTGGCAAATTATTCGAAGTTTCCTGATGAGGACGAGGTGCTGATTCCTCCGTACGAGACTTTTAAAGTCTCTGCTGTCAGGAACAGAACAGATCAGAATGATCTCTGGTGCGAAACTGTGTTCACGTTGGAAAGCTCTGGGAAAATCAGTGACCTGAACTGTAAGTTGTTTAACAGTGGAAACCATGTTGCTGGTTTTAGTGTTTTACTCATTTTAACATCATTTTGCAAAATGTTTACCTGCTAACTTGTAGATACTGTATGTTTCCTGTTGTTGAACTTTGAATTGCTTGTCAGATTTAACTCGGGGACAGATTGCCCTGCTGAAAAAAAGACAAGCAATAGACACCATCACAGAATTTGTAATGGTTTTAATGGTTATAATGGAAACTGCTATTGGACTCTACTGGTAATTGGTCGCCTTCTGTTGGTGGCTTAATTGTTAAAACCACTAAATCCTAATGAAATATATGTCCCAAAAGACACTACAGAAAATCACTTTTAATGGTTAAAAGTTGATGGTCTGTAATGTTTGTAATGGTATTTGTAGTGGAAACCATTAGAATTTCTGTGATGGTTTCTATTGTTTTTTTTCAGCAGGATGATACCATAGTGAGGAGAGAAAAGAAGCTTTTCAAAACTTGAATTGAACCGTTTTGGTTTTCTGAATTTGAGTACTTTTCTTTTTTCATATAGATTTTACACCTCTGATCTTGTTTCATGTACACATTGAATATATTTTCTATTTATCCAGAAAGAAGGGAAGTGAATCGTCACATCATGTGAGAGCCGCATTATGTGATTATGCGATCAAATTTGATTGTATAATTTAAACAACACAACCTAAAATACTGTGACAATAAATGTCATTAAAAAATTTAGTAGGCTAGTTAAAAACAAACTCATTTAGGCACTTGACAATAAACACAAAACATAATAAAGTCATGGGCATGGCTCTTATAGAAGGCAAATAGACAGACAGGTAAGAATAAATAAATAAATAAGTTCTGAACATTCATACAGCAAAAAAACTAAGAAAAGTCTGAGGGACAGTTTCTGAGGGCCAGTTTCTGTACATACGGATATTACAGCACTTTGATTACGAAAAGCTATTTTCTACCATCTTTGAACAGAAAATATAGTTCCAATTAAAATTCCAATGTTCCTGACAAGTCTTTATTAATAAATACTTAAAGCATTAACTTAAGCACAAAAGTTGATAAGGTACCATAAATGCAGTACATATTTGTGACCATTTTTTAAAACCACAATTCAAAACACAGTTTTAGACTTTATGGTACTTTATGGGCTTTATTTCACAGCTTTACTTTTTGGTATTTTATGGACTTTATTACACATCAAAATGACTAAAACTGAAAAAGTAAAATGTTAAGAAATGAAACCAAATTCAGAATATTAATAAAACCACTAAAATGATCTCAGTGATACTAAAATAACTTTGGTTCGCAGAGGTGCAAATGAACAACAGTCAAGACTGTAAATGAGTCTGCTACTGCAATCAGGATTTTTACTGACTATATACTGTATATTTCCAGTAGATGTGAAAAAAGTAATAATTATGCTTTTGAATTACTATATAATGTATATATGTGAAAAAATAAAATTTCTATAAAATGAAATTTACCGTTTTTTTCTTTTTTTTACAGATTTGATGTGCAGTTAAAAATTGTTTTATTTATTTATATATTTATTTTATTTTTTACAAAAAATGGATTCAAACCTTAGATTTCAAATACATATGTATTCCAATCTAGCAATAGACAGATCAACCTAACCGTAGTCTGCTTAACACAAAGCTAATCCTATTACCATCTGTAAGTACCAAGCACGTATTTTGTCTCTGTCCAGATTGTCCTGCTGTCCCAGACACTTCGGGTGTCACAACAAATACGGGCCGAACATACAAGCATGATCACGTATTGGTTGTAAAAAAAATATGCACTTTCCTTTCTTTGATGGAACTGTTCAAGACGTCTTAGTAGGAATCCTCAATGTGAAGATGTTTGGAAGTGGTACTAAGGAGTGGTTTATCAAGAAGAATAAAAGACAGAGGACTAAAGGAAGGAAACCTGTCAACAGGAAGAGAAAGAAATGGGTGGCTAAGGTCCTGAAGCAGCACAGGGAGATGATCCTGAAGGAACTGGATGTCAACAAGGTGCTGCCGTACCTGGTGTATGACAAAGTGTTTTCTCTCGGGGAATACAAAGAGATACTGGGTCAAGACTCCAGCAAGAAACGAGCCGAGCTCTTCCTGGATCAGCTATCGCTGAAGGGCCCGTGTGCGTTCAACGCCTTCTGCTCCGTGCTGGAGGAAGTGTGTCCTCACCTCCTCACCTGCTTCCTGTTGGATTGTGAAGGTAAATCAGACTTTCAGAAACTAGTCAGCCGTCTATTTAGATCAAAGGTGAGCAAACCTCATGAAACAGGTCCCATTTCATTCCAAACAAAACTAACTAACCAACTAACTAACTAAATGAATAAAAAGGCTACATAAGGAAAATTTTATATTTTTAAGCATTCCTTGCATTTTTATATTTTTCCATCTTTCATTATTCTCAATGGTGAGTCTCATTTGATATGAAAATATATGGTTGTAGTTGTTTTGCATTACAGTAATGAGAGTGAGATTTTTTGCAATACAGTAACGGGAGAAGATGGTAAACTAAATAATCATGTTATTTTTCAAAAAATCTTAATCCATACATACCTTTCACGATTTTTTTCACATTACAGTATTGAGAATATTGAGAGAAATGTGCTTAACAGAGATGAGAAATGTCATAAAATGATTATTACTGGCAAAAAAAAGCAATAAATAATACTTCTAAATATTGTCTAGTTTTATCATCAGTGAGATAAATTATATATATATATAATTTATTTATATAATATATATATATAAATATATATATATAAATTATATGTATTTATATAAAATAGAGAGAGAGAGAGAGAGAGAGAGAAAGAGAAAGAGAGAGACATAGAGGGAGAACATGATTTGTAAGATCAATAAATCAATAAATAATACTCCAAAATATATGTTTCATTTTCATTGAAATAAATAAATAAACTAATATTTCTCATTATTTTCTTCAGATTTTTGGGTGAAATATGACCTAAAAATGAACTGTGACATTCTCCCATGGGAGTGAGGATAAGCTATTCCATATCAATGGGCAACGTGATTAGGAGAATAACTGAAATACTATTATTATTCTTATTACTGTTATTGTTACTTTTTTTCAAATAAAAATAGAAACATAAATGAGGTTGGCGTAGGATCCTGAATAAATGCAAAGCCTCATACCTTCACAAACACCTTTGCAAATCGCTAAAGTTTGTTATCTTAATCTAATCTTAAAGAGTAGTTAAAGCTCCAGCTGAATAGCATGGAAGTACAGACGCCAACCAGGTCTGTATGGCCCACAAACTCAGTTTAAGCAAGCATGTCCCACTAAGAGCTGGCAGAAAACAGCCCGCTTAAACCCGCCCCTCTGAGGAGATTACCGGATAGCCTGGGTGACATGCAGTGATGGCCATAACTTATCATATGGCCTCAAACTAAACTGTCTAGTTTAAACTTGTCGGCTAATTTAGCTTAATCTTGCAGTTTGATGTAGACAGATTAATGGGTGGGGGGAGTGAATGTGCAGCGCTTTCTCCCACCTTCAATACCACGACTGAGGTGCCCTTGAGCAAGGCACCGAACCCCCAACTGCTCCCCGGGCGCCACAGCATAAATGGCTGCCCACTGCTCCGGGTGTGTGTTCACGGGGTGTGTGTGTTCACTGCTGTGTGTGTGCACTTTGGATGGGTTAAATGCAGAGCACCAATTCCAAGTATGGGTCACTTGGCCACATGTCACTTCACTTTCACTTTTTTCACTTTAATGTGAGTATGATAAACAGGCCAAATTATCAGGATAGCTGAGCCATTACTCAAGCTATAGGGGGCTAATGATTTATTCATGTAATTAATCAACCGTCTTCCTCCTTATAGACGACCTTGGAAGAATTTCTAAGCAATTTAAGTCTCAATCTTCTGTTACGGACGCTTCATGATTTTAGATCAACAGTAGCAGTTTGATTTGGCACCTAAAGAGTGCGCTCGATACGTTTGGTATAAACACCAGTAAATTTACACAGCTTTTTTTTTTCGTTCGTTGGATAGACATTATGCAAAATTTTAAACGTACCTCTCTTATTTTATTATAAATGCAACATTCTTCAGGGAGCAACCATGCTTTCTTCCAATGAATGCTATAAAAAAAAGTCGGTCTAGAAAGTAAATTTAAACAGCCTCAGAATTAAGAAACAATAGTTTTTTTCATTCACCTAAACACAACACACAGTATGGGAATCTACGTCATGCCGCGTTGCACTCTGTGTAACGGTCGCCATGTTTTAGGACACGCTCAGGCGCACACAGTGTAAACAAACACAAATCACTGCAGAAGAAAGCCGACCGTTTCGTATGAATACTTTTTGGAAAACAGCTTATATAAGTTTAGAATAAAACTGACTAATATGTAAATCTCTTTAAATTAAAAAATCGCTCAGTCGTGTGTTTTATTATAGTAAACGTGTACTAACCATGTTTCCAAACTTGTAACCTTACCTATACAGGTATTGATACCATTTGTATAACCACAGGTTTACCAGAAATACCATGATTATATGGTTAGTGTAGCAAAACTCCAGATCATTTGTGGTTACTATAGTTTAACTATAGTAACCATGTCCTTTTGGTTTTATTTGTTGCAAAACCATGGTTCATTTCCGTAAGGGAAGAATAAATACAATATAGCTGCTCAATGTGAAAGTATTAACCCTAAAAAGGGCAAACACATAAAGAGACATCAGAAAATTAATTTAATGCTATTTCCATCTTATTGGGACTCAAATAATACAATTTCATGATTTTTTTTCAAAACTTGACTCTTATATATGATTTTAATGTTTGTATCCCCCAGGATGCGTTGCTCCTTTGGGGGTATAAATTCACTGGAAACAGAACACAAATGCTTGTTACAGCATGGTTGTAATTCCTGAATGTTTTGGCGTACAGACCTAACCTTGGTCTCTTTTTAAAGAAGACACACAGCAGATTATTGCTGAAGTGAAAGCATTTCAAAAAAAGAAAGTATAAAAAAGTTGTAAACGTTTAAGGTTACAGTAAAGATAATGTAGTATACTAATTGTTTTTATTTTATATAAAATAAATATTTTATCAAATATGTTGCACTATAAAAATGGTATAAATCAAAGCCATATATCTAACCGATTTATGTTCCAAATTTGAAGTTGATATCACAAAAATTGTGGTTCCTGTGAGATTTTCTTTGGGCACTATACCAAAAACCACTGGGTTACACCCAAACTCTATTGAATTTTTCTAATGCAGTTTTCTGTCACAAATCAATCATTTTCTGTCACAATATCACATCTATTACAAGTCACCAAATATGGAATCTTGACTGTCAGACCTTTCCAATGATATGTGTTTTGTCAAGATTACAAAAAGATTTGATTTTCTAAAACACAAGCCACAAAGTCACACAATCTATATGCATGTTTTATATCTTGATTTATACCCCTAAAAGGGCAACGTGCCCGTGAGCTAAACAAAGAATGGAGAAACAAAAGTCACCTCATCTAAATATTCACAACAAACTCCCTTTCAAGATGAAACCAAGAAATGAGACCTACACTTTCACTGCTTCTCCCCACATCTTCTCAAATGTTTGTATCCCCCAGGGTACGTCGCCCCTTTTAGGGTTAAGTTTATAGGGGTAATAGAATAACTAACTATAAAGCTGCTTTGAAACAATGTGTATTGTGGATGCTGAACAAATAAATAACTTGACTTTGAATGAAGTTGAAGATTCCTCACTATTATTAGTGATTCCAAACAAGGACGCAGATGAGCACGACCAAATAAATGAATGGACTTAATCCGCACAAGTGGCCGGGTACCAACGAGCTGCCGCAGATAATATTTCCAGATGTGATTTTTGACTTTATTTGTGTTGTGAGCACTTGCAGTTCAATGCAAATCAGTGTATCTATAATATAACAAATCAGAGATCAATTATAAAGCCCCATTTTATTTAAACTCTGAGTTGCGAATGTAGACATTTTCTATATTATTTTATGTTTAAATGATTTGACTTAAGATCGTGTTTGAATGATTTACGCTTATATAATCAATTACCGTAGCCCTTCAGCACGTTTTTCACGCAGGGTTATAGTAATTGATGATACAGTAAGCCTTAACAATTCCAACACAATCCTAAATTGAATAATATAAACATATATATATATATACATTCACTACCACCCAGTCTCTACTGTAGTGTCCTAAATTCCCAGAATACTGTACATTGCGCTGTGACAACAACAAAAGATTCTTCTTCTTCAAAAGATTGGATTATTCTTTGATTTGGCAAATGTTTATCACTAAGTTGTATTTTTAATGTATTTTTGAGTAAACTATTTAGTTTGATAGGAGCCTTATGATTCTTTTCAGAGTGCCAAATGAATCATCATTACATTACTATTCAGATACTGGAGTCAAAGTAAACTTTTCAAAGGTCTGAAAGATTTTTGTCTCCTAAAAGTAGCTGTTTCTCTATGACGTTTCTCCCTCACAGATGGCTCAGCTGGAGGAAACAAGAAGCAAGGACAAACTAAACCAGCGCACAGTCAAGAGAATGCGCTGTCCAAGGGACAAGACACGGTTTGTTTTCTACCTATGTACACAGACCCACTTTTTGACACAAGGTAAGATTTCTCATCACTTGTGCTGTAATTGTCGCAATCTGTCCCCCCCAGCTTCCTCTGTGTCATTCATTTGCATAATGAATGAGAGCCTGAAAGGGCCTAGTACTCTAGTTCTATATAGAGCACGATGTCAAGCTTTAAACTGCTGGTTTAATGTAAGTAACTCACTTCTCTTTTTCGCATGTTGCTTTAAAGGGGTCATATGATGCTATTTTAAAGATCATTATTTTGTGTATTTGGTGTAACAGAATATGTTGACATGCTTTCATGTTCAAAAAACACATTATTTTTCAAATACTGTACATTATTGTAGGTCCTCTATGCCCCGTGAAACCACGCCTTCTTTCTTTGCGTGCACATTTGGGCAGCATTACGCAAATATTTCCACATAGTGAGGTAGATATGTGGGGGCGTGTTAGAACGAGCCGTTTTAGGGGGGCGTGGCAGAGTCTTAACTTTGATAAAGAATATCTCTTTGGTTTTGAGACTTTAGTCTTTGCAACTTCAGGGATCTTATCTATGCACAATCAGCTTGTAACACTCCAAAGAGAAAGGAAAACTTGAAATTGCATCATATGACCCCTTTAAGTTGCTGTCACATTTAAGTTTTGGGAGCGAAATCCTGCCATTTCATGGAATCTCATAGCTAACGTGTTCTCAGAACTTTGACTAACGTTCTCTCAAAGTTATGAAAATTCTTCCAGTAACGTTTTTTTCTCCCCGGAAAAACTTCAGTTCAACATTCCTTTAATGCTTTTAAATGTCAAACTATGTTGTTTCTATGGAAGCCCATTTCCGCCACTGAATAGAAAATAAAAGAGGTAATTGTGACTTTATATCTCACAATTCTGACTTTTATAATTCACAATTGCGAGTTTATATCTCACAATTCTGTGGAAAAAAAGTCAGAATTGTGACATAAAAAGTGGCAATTACCTTTTTTTATTTTTTGTAAAACGGGCTTCCATATGTTTCAGAGTGTACAGAGAACATTTAAAATCACAGTGTTTGCAAAGTGGAATATTCTCTTAACATTAGCATATAACCATGGCTAAATGTTTATGAAACGTTAAAAAAAATGGTTTGAAATAATGTTTTCGCAACATAACGAGAATGTTAGTAAAACATTCATATGGGCTGTTCACACAGAATGTGTTTTCCATTTCACTGCGCTACTTTTTCATTGTTTTTCTATGTAAACACAAGCTAGATTGGCGTGTTTGACCGTCGCGCTCACATCTCGCGTATTTTGCAGCATCTCGTGTATGAAGCAGCATTGTAAAATTGTGGTGCTCAAGTAAAAGCTTTTTTTCTCGAGACCTTGCATTTTTTTCCTCATTCCACTGCACACATTTTGCCTTTTTCAAAGCAAAAACATGTTTTATGTGAATGGCTTCTAAGAACATGTTTTGTTAGCTTGGTAGGAATCTACGCGATCTGCAATTTTGCGTGAGGGGTTTCGCTAGGTTCAAGTTGGTCGCTCAAGTTCGCCGTTAGCAAATATTTTAAGCTATTTTGTGAGCTGTGAGCTTGCTACACTATTGACAATAGACTTTTTGCCTACAAAATTTCACAAATTTCGCTAATGTGACCACGTTTTGTCAATAGTAGGTGTTGGAAACAACAAGAACAGGCAAAGTGGGAGTTTTTTGCTTGGCATCAACACATTTACTTTTGATTTACTGATGGTCTTTTTAGTACATATTATTATAATATATGTTTTATTATTATGTTATATTATTTTTATTATTATTGCATATTCCAAAATATATATTTCAATTATATATTTCATGTTGTATAACAAATATAATTAAAATATACAATTAGAATTAGTAAAATAAAAATATTTTTAATTATACACACACACACATACACACACACACACATATATATAATGATGTTGAATTAAAATCTATTTTATTTTATTATGCTATTTTAATTGTAAAATAATTTTGACCTGTGATTGTAGAATCTTTCTAATTTGTAAAATTATATAATTTATAATTATATAATATATAATTATATAATTACAATATGTTAATGAACTGTATATAATATTTAATATTAAATTAATATTACATACGCAAATTATGTTTAAAATGAGCTGTGTTTTAATCAGAATAAATATATTTAATGAAATTAATTTATGAGATAAATATTCATTTTGTTGAAAAATGTAAATATATTTAAAATTAATCATCTGTGTATATTTAATTTTGTTGTTTATATAGTATATTTTAATTCTAGATCAATTTTGGACTTTCATTGTAGATTATTTTTTAATTGTAAAATTTGATAATATACAAATATATAAAACATATTTAAATGATCTGTATATAACTGTATTTAATATTTAATTCAAATGATATATATTTAATAAATATATTTATGAGATAAATGTATAAATATGTTCATTTTATATAAGCAAATGTAAATATATTTAAAATAAATTAAATTACAGCTATGTATTTTCTTCATTTTATGATTTCCATATAATAATTTATTTATCGATTCATTTTGAACTTGTAATATATAAAAATATCATTAGAATATGTAAATATAATACAATATTGAATATATTTTAATTATGAAATAATTGCAATAACTTCATAATATAGCTTGCAATTTTTTTCTGAATTGCAAACAAAATGCAAAATTTGTGAAATTCTTTCAATTTCAGTTCACTTCCTCTCATTTCAATTTCCCATTTAACTAGATTTTAAATGTGAATGATTTTAAAACCAGATTTTACCCAACCCTAGTGTTGCATATGGAGTCCTGGTTTGCGCACAGATATTTATTGCCCTGAAAAATCAGGCTAGATCCAATCTGGGCTTGAAATAGAGGACGTGGGCTTGCTGTGGGGGAGGACAGACATCGCAAAGATGAATCTCTGTGAGGTGAAGGCACACTCAGGCGTATTGTTCGCTAAAGTAGGCCTCCTCTATGTCTGACTGACAGCAAAGTCATCATGGAGAAGACAGCAGCACCATTGGTTTGACCCAGAGCTGGAACACACATCAAACACACAGTCACTGACGTGGCAATATGACAAAATCATTTTGGGTCACACAAGTTACAGACAGACACACAAAGGAGCCGGAGAGTTTGAAAAGCGCAGACATGGTAACAGCACACAGCAGAGAGGTATGATCATGGACACCATGACGGGAGCGCAGCGTTACGGACACTATATGTAAGTACACCATTTACCACAATGTAGATGTTTCAGGTTTGAAAGTTCAAGGGGGAGGTCAGGGTTTGTTTGAAGTGTGTAGGAAAAAGAAGAACAATATTGAATATGGACTGCAGGAACATCTAATTCCTTATGATATTTTATATTTACATATATACATATTTATAAGGTAAAGTTATATAACCTGTGCAATATCGTACGTGTTGCGAGTGAGTCTCCCAGTTGACTTTTTTCCTTCAGATAGATTTGTATAGACACAACGTCTGATGCATAAGTGCCTGGGGATTGTCATGTTTTACGAAAACGTGTGTTTTCGTATAAAGAGTAAACACAGCTTTTAGCTAAACAATGTGTTTAGAAATGTTGGAGAATGAGGCTAACAGGGCAGTTTGTTTGTTTGAGTAGCCGTTCTTTGTGGAAGTAGGACACATCCCGCCTCCAGCTCGGCTTCATGACATTTGAATACAAATGTAACTAGTGTGTATTTTGTCGACTTGACTGTAGTGTGTGTGTGGCTCATGGTGTGTGCTTATAAACAAATGTAAAATCTGAATTTGACAGCACAGTTTTCAAATTTAAGTGTAAAAAACCAAAGGTGAATAACATGATGCTCAATTTTTTTCTATTGATTTATTTATCAATATATAAAGAATGCACACATAGTGACTTGATTACACCTTTTCTGTGATGAGCATGCTTTTCATTTCTGAATTCAAATTCATTTTGGTATTTTGTGGCGGGAATCAAAGCCATGTGTTGGATCGACATTTATTTCAAATCAGATCATTTGGTGAAATGTCATGCAGTTCGACTCCTCAGAAGCAGATCATTATTAATGAATTACTCTGAAAAATATATTTCAAAGCTTTTTAGAAAATAATGATTAAGATAAGGTTCACCTAAAAATGAACATTTTCTAAAAAATTTACTCACAGATATAGATGAGTTTGTTTTTTCGTCAGATTTGGAGAAACTCAGCATTGCATCACTTGCTCACCAGTGGATCCTCTGCAGTGAATGGGTGCCGTCAGAATGAGAGTCCAAACAGCTGATAAAAACCTCACAATAATCCACAAGTAATCCACACCACTCCAGTCCATCAGTTAACATCTTGTAAAGAGAAAAGCTGCATTTATAACAAAAAAAATCTGTCATTAAGATGTTTTTAACTTGAAACCATTGCCTTGAGTTCTCTATCCATAATATTGCTTTATCCAGTGAATCAGGAGAGAAATATGCACAGATCAAGCATTGTTTATAAGCAAAAATAGTCCCAAACAGATCTAAACAAATATGTTGATGGATTTTAATGTGAGAGGACAACAGGGGATGTTTTTTTCACTGGAGGAGGCCTTATTATGAATTATAGACCCATATTTTGGCCAGAAGTAACAGTTAAATCATCTTCTTAATAATGGATTTGTTTCTTAAAAACATGCATCTTTTCACTTCACAAGACGTTAACTGATGGACTGGAGTGGTGGGGATTACTTGTGGATTATTGTGATGTTTTTATCAGCTGTTTGGACTCTCGTTCTGACGGCACCCATTCACTGCAGAGGATCCATTGGTGAACAAGTGATGTAATGCTACATTCCTCTAAATCAGATCTAAGTCTTCTTTTTTTTACACTATCATGTATTTTGCTATTGGAACCATAAATATATAATGTACACATATATATGCATTCCATTCACGTCTATGGAAGTTTATCCAACTTTGACGAATTCTGCCTGAGAAACCTCAGGTTCCGTTGTTCAAAATGGTCAAAGTTTTTCAAAACCACCATGAATATGAAGAGTAC